GATTCCCCTGACGGCACAGGCCGTATATATATATTTATTTATATTTATATAAAGTTATAGAAAATAACTTCTTGAACTTAAGAAGTAAATACTCAGATCAAATGGGCTTGATGAATACTAGACAAAATTAACATAAAGAGACTAGTTCTTGTGGAAGTTTGAAATTTTAATTTTTCGTAAAAAGAATTCTGGAAAACAGGAAAAAAAAATAAAACAAACAAAAAGAATAAACAAGTTAGCTACAAGGGGAGAAAAATCAGGACCAGAAGTTAATAAAGCAATATCCATCCTGAACAGGATTGGTCCCAAGTTGTCTCAAGCCCAACTGATGACTCAGAGGGCCTTGCCAATCACTTGCTACAATCATCAAGGATTATTTGTCACATGCGCACTCACCTCCTTAGAATTCCATCATGCAGAGTGCACTTGTCTCGCTAGGATGTCTGTGCTTTAATTATAGTTACACACGATACCCTGCAGCCACTTTCCAGGAAATTGTAGGCCACTGTTATTTATTGTCTCCTATAATTAAGCATTTCGTTTCTGTATCTGGATGCAGGACTGGTTTCACAGCAAATACCCGTACAGTTTGTGGGCCCTATGCTCAGAAGGGCCCATGCTTGATTTAATCCTCTGCTGCTGCAGAATTGAAATGCTTAAGAATTTTTTAACAGGAGGCCCTGCCTTTTCATTTTGCACGGAGCCCCACAAATTATGTCCTGTCTCGAGGATTCACTGCCTCAAGGTGAATTTCTATCAAGCCCTGTCTACACACTCAGGATGGGAGCCATTACTGAATGGTTCTGAGTATAGTTTTTGGTTACAGTGATCATTTTCACAGTCATTTAGTTGGCAGGGTGACTGTCACCAACCTGAAAGTTCAAACAGCCCCAGAACACATTTGATGTCTGATTACAAATAACTGGCTCGGTCAAAAGTTAAGCTTCGGCCTTGGCCATCCTCTCTCATCCTGCCAGGTATACAGACAGGCCCTATTTCTTCAAGGCTCCTTCAAGTTTATAAACGATACCACCCCCAACACTGGTTCATAAAGTTTCCCATTCTACAAACTTAATGTGTTATTCAGAATTGAACCATTTCCTTAGCATAATTTGATGAAGGGTGTGCAGAATTGTATCAGAGGTAATAAAAGTCAAGCCCTGTAATTTCAATTATTAAACACTTGTACCAGAGCCCATACCCAAGCAGCTCAGTGGCTTGTACTTGAACTGCAAAAGTAGCAGCTGGATTGCCAGAAAGGGAAGGTATGGAAACCAACTGTGTTCTTAGCCGCGACAGATTTGAAAGGGTCCTTCTCAAGGTGAGTGACAAAAGGGGTCTATAAACTGGGCATTTACCTTGGGACATCCCATCACCTACCTCAAGCCATTCTGCATATTGCAACGGTCATTTTCTACCTGTCCACACTGGATCCTGACACGGAAGTGTCACTGGTTCTGACAGAAGCATCACCCACGAGCTCTCAGAGGCCTGTGATCAAAAAGTGTCCCTCCCCACACACCCATTAGCTGGTATAAAAACATTCTCTCTTCCAGACCTCAAGACAGTGCACAAACACACTTGTATGTGCAGGCGGGCATGTGTGCTGTGTGCAGAGAGGGAAGGGAAGGAGGTCGCGAGAGGGTGGTAAAGTGACACCTCGTCTTTATTGACGACTACAGATAAGACACGCCTTTTTACTTCCCTCTTAGTCTTTCTGAAGTCATCTCTAGAGACTGGGTTTCCAACATGATGTTTATTTCATTGTTCAGACCGAGGGAATATTCATTTAACGGCCTCACTCAGATTCACATTAATTTCAAACAGACAGCGTAATTCAGCCACAGCTCTCCAGTGTGCAACAGAAATCCTGGACAGAACTGGCCACGGCCAGGCAGGGGATGCATGGGGACAGGCAGCCATTGTCTCGTCCACTATCCACAACAGGACTCACTTCCTGCAAGTAACTATTCTCTGCCTGGGTGAAATTCACAGCACTGGAAACCATAAATAAATATCACAGGCTTCTGCAATCATGAACAACATCCCTTAGGTACCAGGGCAGCATTTATTCTGCCGGCATGTTCTGATCCCTGCCTTTTATCTTGTTCATGCCGTTGGAGAAACAAATAACAAAAATAGAATTCCTCATTTGGAGACTTTTACCTCTCCATGTTCAGAAATTCTAATTCATCAGCGGGAAATATTGGACTAAACACAGATCCTCCTGGAAATCTTGAAGGTGTTCCTAGTGCCTATGCCCCACATCTAAATAGAGCCTAAGGCCCATTCTCTTCAGCAAACATTGATGAACATCCCGGCACTTTCTCCAAACAGGTACCTCGTTTTCCCACTCTTTGCCTTCTGAGCACTTTCAAAATTGGATAGTTACATATTTCACTCACTTAATAAATAGTTATCAAGTACCCACTGTGTAGTAGACACTGAAGAGTACAGGATTCGCCCCCATGCCCGCCCACAGGGTACCCACGGGTCAGTCTGAATGAGGCCTTTGAGTGCCCCTGAGCTCCCTGAAACTCAAGCACCCAGCCTGAGCTGCTGCCCTTGTTCCAAACTCATATTTGTTGGCTAAATGCACTGAGTCGACTTTGTTTTACAAATAGAGCTTTCTAATTAACAAAGGGATTCCAAAGTCAATGGGGTAAATCAGGCGTGCTATCAGTCAAGCAGAATTTGAAAATAAAAAAACACTCTGATAACCTGCTCTAAAGAATATGTCCTCCTGCTGATGGACATATTGCCAAGTTGGGAACGGTGAAAGGAACTCCTTCACATTTGCTGCTTCAGAAATGGTCACAGGCTCTGTCACAAATTGTTGTGGCACAAGTCTGCTTGCTCCAGGGGCTGACAGAAGCTGATTAACACCCAAAATTGCTTCTCTCCTTCTCAGACTTGTAGAAGGAGAATGTCACTGATATGACGATCTCGGCTGTTAGTGGGAACTACACCTGTCTCGCTTTCCTAGAATGCAGCGAGGTACAAATCTCCAGGAGCAACAATTCACCCTGTCAAATTACCGAGCCCAGGAGTGGCAGAGTGGGGAGAAGGCAGCTGCTACAAAACAAGGATATTATGGGCGGAAACCTCGTTCAAACACAGCAAGGGGAGAACTGTTGGTGTTTAGCTTAAAATTTCATTGGAGCAGAGACCGTGAATGTGCTGCAGGCTACAAAGCCACTACGTGGCATCTCACATTTTTTAAATACAAGATCCAAAAACATCGTGAGTCCACTTTAATGCAATCAAAGTCCTTAGCTATCCAGAGAGAAGAATGAATTCAACTGCTTAAAAATCCTTCACTCAAACACTAAGCATGAATTTTACTGTGATTAAGTGAACCGAGTTGATTCTAATGCCACATGAAATTTGTTTTTAAATGGTTCTTTTATTCAGAGTGGTTGCCTTTTAATGATGCTGCCTTAATTTCCTGCTAAACTTGTTTCATCTCTAGTCATCCAACATTAATATTTATTTTGTTCATTTACTTTTAAAGTAGTCTTAAAGTTGTTACAAATATTCTACTGCTGCTTAAGATAATTCAGCATAGGCGCTACCATGAAAATATCATAGAAACCATGATCAATGTGTTATAGCTGTAATCTGGATTAATAAACACAATTACTGTAAACAATTTTAGTAAATTAAGAAATAACCATTCTAGAAAGTGTTAGAAAATCCACTGCTAAATACATCCGTTTTTTTAACCTCTGTGCTTTTCAACTCTCGGAATTCTTAAGTGTAGTTAGATTTCACATTGTAATAAAAATTATACTTAGAAGTATTTCCCATGTACATATTCCTTTTCATTATATTTGCCTTAAAATGAAATCCTCAGCATTTAACCTATACAGATTGGCTTGCACAAATCTCACAATAAATTACAGTAAAATAAAATTATGATGAACTTGAACTTGTATCGTATTTAATGTAGTACACAACTACACTCTCTTGTTCCTATTTAGCTCCATAACTTATTATCATAATACAACATTCTGCAGAACGCTTCAGTACAAATGGGCTCAGGACAGCAGAAACACCATTACCACTACAGGAAAATTGCAATGGTTTTTTCCCTGGAAAATACCAAATCTCAACATCCAACATACAAACTCATAATTCATTTTCATTTCCTCTTTCCCATAATTTATTTTCATATCTAAAAGAAGCTCTCGGTTGAAGACTTATACTGTCAGCAACACGTAGCTTCTTTGCAATTTTTTACTTTCAGAAAACATGATAAAAGAAAAGCAATGTACCCCACAAGCAACCTAAGTAAACCATTATAAATTCACATTCTCTTTTGCACTAATTTGGGTGGGCAGCCAGGAATAAGGGGGATAACCTGTGGGTGCCCTTACAGTTCCCAGATCAAAATTCCCTTTTCATATGCCTCTGTGGACTGTGTCAGAGGCAGAAAAATGCTCCAAACTCAAATACTTCGGTCACTTTTCTAACCAAAGAACTTGCTACTGTTGCCAACAGAACGTTCACACTAATTTTTGAGGTTTGTGTTCTTATCATCAGAAGTTTTTTGAACTACATACTTCTCTTCTTTAAAAACTCCTTTTTCTGAACTAACCTCAGGACCAAAACACTGGTCTCTGCTTCAAGGTTTCCCAGTGTTAACTCAAGAGTAAGCAAAACCGAATGCCTTCAGATCCTCAGGGGGTTGCGTCTTCCTTTCTGTGCTCCAAGTGGAACAGGAAAGTAGTGCTGTGCTTTTTCCTCCACTGCCCTGCTTGGTTTTTGCCTTTAGAATCTGAAGATTTGTCCCCATTCCTGGGCACCTGACAGGCTGTGATTTACACGGGAGAACACAACTCCAAGGCTCTTATCAAGGAGTCTGAAGCTGCTCCCACCCATCTTAGCTGTTTTCTAGGAAACAGACAGGAAAAGGGGGTGGGGGGAGAAGCAGATTCTGTCTGAAGCTGCACAGGACAAGGAACACAGGCAAATCCAAAGTAATGGAGGCAAATATAAAAAAGAATATTATTTATTATTTTCTTTATTAATACTCACATATAACCTTTGCTTTTTACACAAAAGTCTACTTAGAAGAATGCCTCCTTGGTTTAGCATGCCCAGTGGGGCTTTTGCTCCTGGACCACTTCCCCTTTCTCCCTCCCACACCTCCCACCCTACCCCCGACATCCAAATGACTCTTTTATGTGTTCACAGATACCGCGAAAATTTTGGAAACGAGATTTGGGTTACTGGATCTTGATTTAATCAACATCCCACTTCAAAATGGAAGGCAGGTAGGGGAGAGGGGAGGAAAAGGGAGAAAAGGCAGGGGAGAGAAGAGGAAAGGCAGCGGGTCAGAACTTTCAAGCCTTGCCTTTTCTGAGATGTGTGTGTATTGTGGCTGTTCCTTGAAATTCAATGACTCAAAACACTGACAGCAAGTGCCTGTGTGGTTATTTATATTATGTATCTATAACAGAATGTGTGGGCTTCCTCAGTTTGGATCTGGGCTGTTTTTGTTGAAACACACCACAATCCTTCTGTGGGTGTCACCACAGGGAGTCTGGTCTCCCGGGAACCCCTCTCAGAGCCGGGGTTTCCGGAGCAGGGTCTTGCTGAGGTCTCTGACCTCTTCGGGGCTGCTGACCCGCTCGTAGCCCAGCACGGCCATGGGCTGGTAGCAAAACTCCTCCACCTGTTTGATCTGCTGGAAGGTGAGGGCGGTCCGCCAGGCATTGGCGGCCTGCGTTGCGTTGCGTGCTGACACCACGAAAGGCTTGGAGGAGGAGCCTGAGCCACTGGTCATGTTGAGGGCAAACTGCTCCATTTCAGGGCTCACCAATAGCCCCACAAAGTCATACACCCTCCGTAGGGTCTTGACGGGGTCTCCCACCAGGTCCTCGTACCGCACCACCAGGTAGTGGCCTTGCAGCCAGTCAGGGGGCTGCAGGGCCGTCTGCAGCGTCTTGGCCATGCTGTGGCAGATGACCTCCATGGCGCCAAGGGCATGGTAGTCTGCAGGCCCACCCATGCTCTCCTTCTTGGCGCCCAGCTTATGGCCAGCGGCCTCCAGGAAGGGCATGCGGTGCGCTCGGGGGTCCCGGCTGCGCACCACCTGCAGGCTTTCACGGATGAGACCATGGCGCGAGCGGATGCGTGAACTGGCCACAGCGCGGGGATCCCGCACCAGGTGAATGACCTTGAGGTCCAGGGCCGGGTCGCGCAGAAGTGGCGCCAACACGGCCACGTCAAAGACACGCACGCCCTTGATGACCAGAGTGCGGTACTTGCGGCACTCCTCCTCGAAGCGCGCCAGGCGCTGCGGCGGGCACTTCTTGCACACGCGATCGTCCACCAGTCCAACGACCTCCTTACGGTAGGCGGGGCAAAGTGGCGACGAGCACACCACCTTGTTGGTGGCCGCGCCGAAAATGCCCAGCGTGGTGAGGTTGCGCCCCCCGCTGCCAGCGGGGCTGTACAGCTGGAAGACAGAGAGGTCGCAGCGGTAGAGAGCGCTCAGCATGTCCCGTGCCGCCCCTTGCAGGGAAACGGCGTCCCCTGGGTACAGTTTTTGCCACACGTGCCACACTGGCTCGTAGAGGAAGAACACTTCGGGGTTCTGGTTGAAAAGCTCGCCGAAGAAGGACGAGCCCGAGCGCCACGTGGTGAACACGTACACCAGCTGCCTCTTGTCCCCGCCATCCCCGGTGCCCCGAGTGCCACCACCCGGCGGGGCTGCGGCCCCCGCCGCCCCCGCCCCGGCCGCCGGAGCCGCCCGGACGGGGGCGACGGGAGAGCGGTATGGGGCACGGGGGTCCAAGCGGCTGTGTGCGCGGGGCGGCACGGCCGGAGCAGGCCCCGGACGCCCCCAGCCGCCCCCAGCCGCCCCCGCCGCGGCACCGAGCGGCCCGTCGGGGCTGCACTGCTGCAACGGCTCCTTGTGCCACTTGTAGTCCAGGAGGTTGAGCATGGTGAGCACCAGCAGCAGCGCGTAGCCCGCGCACAGCACCAGCGCCTTCCTGCGGAACACCTTCATTCCGAGCGGGGACGCGGGCCAGCGGCGACCCGGGCGCCGGGGCCACGGCGGGAGCAAGGCGCGCGGCCCGGCGGCAGGCGCGGCCGCGAGCAACCGGGGGGGCGCGCCCGCGGGCAGGGCTCGCGGCGGGCTGCGGCTCATCACAGGCACAACCCGGGCCGGCAGCGCGGCGGAGGCGGCCCTGCAACCCGGGAGGAGGACGCAGCGGCCCGGATTCGGGCGCTGGGACTTGGGCCGCGACTCCGAGGCGGGCGCGGCAGCAGCGGCGGCTGGTCCCCGGCGCCCAGGGTTGGCTCTCCCATGGCAGCGGCTCTGAGAAGGACCTGCGAGGGGAAGCGGAGTAAGCTGGTGCGCCCCAATTCTCCTCCCCCTAATTAACGCCCACCCTCGGGTCTGCCTGGCTACCCCGCTAACCTGGAGCCGCGGGCGCTCCCCGGAGCGGCCCGGGAGCACGGCCCGGCGGTCAGTCCTGCTGTCACTCGTTCCCCGCCTTCTCGAGCGCTGTTTTCCGCCCGGGGTCCGCGCGCCTCCGAGGGGGCCGAGGGACTTGGCAGCCCAAGACCTGGGCAGAGTTTGCGGGCAGCGGGCGCCCTGCGGCTGGGGAAGGGAAACTTTCACCGCGCCCGGAGCCCTGCTCTGCGCTCCGCTGAGTCCAGTGCGCCCGACTCCATCGGCGTCTCCGCCGCCCTCTCGGGACTGTAGCTTCCTTCCTCGCTCTGGGGGTGTGAAGCTGGCCGAGGGAGGGGAGGGGGAGGGGGCTTATACGGGACCCAGCTCCCGGCAAAGCGGCTCCGCCTCTCTTGCTCTCGGCCTCCGCGCCCCGAATCTTCCGA